CTGAGCGCTCACTGTGTGTTCCACATCCTTTTCAGTGCCGCGCTGTTACTGAGCACTCACTGTGTGTTCCACATCCTTTTCAATGCCGCGCTGTTACTGAGCACTCACTGTGTGTTCCACATGCTTTTCAATGCCGCGCTGTTACTGAGCACTCACTGTGTGTTACACATGCTTTTCAGTGCCGCGCTGTTACTGAGCACTCACTGTGTGTTCCACATCCTTTTCAGTGCCGCGCTGTTACTGAGCACTCACTGTGTGTTCCACATGCTTTTCAATGCTGCGCTGTTACTGAGCACTCACTGTGTGTTACACATGCTTTTCAGTGCTGCGCTGTTACTGAGCACTCACTGTGTGTTCCACATCCTTTTCAATACTGCGCTGTTACTGAGCACTCACTGTGTGTTCCACATGCTTTTCAATGCTGCGCTGTTACTGAGCACTCACTGTGTGTTCCACATCCTTTTCAATGCTGCGCTGTTACTGAGCACTCACTGTGTGTTCCACATGCTTTTCAATGCTGCGCTGTTACTGAGCACTCACTGTGTGTTACACACCCTTTTCAGTGCCGCGCTGTTACTGAGCACTCACTGTGTGTTACACATCCTTTTCAGTGCCGTACTGTTACTGAGCACTCACTGTGTGTTACACATCCTTTTCAGTGCCGCGCTGTTACTGAGCACTCACTGTGTGTTACACATCCTTTTCAGTGCCGTACTGTTACTGAGCACTCACTGTGTGTTACACACCCTTTTCAGTGCCGCGCTGTTACTGAGCACTCACTGTGTGTTCCACATCCTTTTCAGTGCCGCGCTGTTACTGAGCACTCACTGTGTGTTACGCACCCTTTTCAATGCTGCACTGTATATGCATCAATTCCATTTCACAGTCAGGTCCGATCATCACCATCAGTGTTCATAGAATAACTGAGGCACAGAGAATGCAAGAAACTTGTTGACAGTCACACTGCTAGTGGTTGGGAGAGCTGGGCTTTGAATTCAGGCATTTAGGTTCCACAGGCCCTCCGCTTACAATTAACCTTATGTAGTAGAAATTATTCTCCCCATTGGACAACAGGCAAAGTACCCTACCTTAGCATCAGGTAGAAACTCATATTTATTGTATGCGTAATATGGGTGGTGCTATGGTCTGAACATTTGTATTCCTCCAGAATTAATGCATTGAAATCCTAAGCCCTAAGGTGAAGGTGTTAGGAAGTGGGGACTTTGGAAAGTGTTTATGTCTTGAAAGTGGACACTCACAGATGGGATTAGTTCCCTTCTGAAAGAGGGCATTGCTCTTTTGACCATGTGAGGGCACAGCATTAAGGCAAGAAAATGGGCTCATCAAACAGTGAATCTTCCAGTGCCTTGATGCTGGACTCCCCAGGCTCTAGAATTGTGAGAAATAAATTTCTGCTGTTTCTAAGCTGCTAAGTTTACAGTACTTTTTGTTGTTGTTTTTTGAGATGGAGTCTCTTCTCTGTCTCCTACGCTGGAGTGCAGTGGTGTGATCATGGCTCACTGCAACCTCTACCTCCCGGGCTCAAGTGATTCTCTTGTCTCAACCTCCCAAGTAGCTGGGATTACAGACACATGCCACCAAGGCTGGCTAATTTTTTATATTTTTGGTAGAGATGAGATTTTACCATGTTGGCCAGGCTGGGCTCGAACTCCTGACCTTAAGGGATCTGTCGGCTTTGGCCTCCCAAAGTGTTGGGATTACATGTGTGAGCCACCGCGCCTGGCCTAGTTTTGTTTGTTTGTTTGTTTTTAGATGGAGTCTCACACTGTCACCCAGGCTGGAATACAATGACACAATCTCGGCTCACTGCAACGTCCGCTGCCCATGTCCAAGCGATTCTCCTGCCTCTGTGTTATAAGTAAAATTTTCAGTGCTGCAAAAGAAGTAGTATTTGAATATAAATTTCCTTGGCAAGGCAGTTTACTTGTATAGAAGGGTGCAGATCACAGATAGAACAATGGTGAGCGCACAATTGGACAGAGGGGAAGGGGCACTTATTCCTGATGGAGGTAGCCCCTACTGCTGTGTCGTTCCCCTATTGTCCAGCATTAGATCGCACAGTCTAGTCTAATTCCAATTGCTGATTTTAAAGGGAGCAGGGGTACGAGCCAGAGTGGCAAGGTGGGTAGTTTGGCAGGAAGGACATTACAGGCAGGTCAGAGCAGGTAGCCAGGGGTCAAAGCAGGTGACCGGAGCAGGTGACAGGGATGAGTCAGGACGGAGCAGGGGACCAGGGGAGAAGATGTGAACTACTGATTAGAACTGGTGGAAAAGGTTGTTTACTGAAACTACAAGGAAGTGAAACTTTAAAATGAAGAATTAAAGAATAAGAGAGCTGAACATACTGACATACTGATTCTTTGAAGAGAAAATTGGGGTTTACTACATCTAACACTCAGCCTCCCAAGTAGCTGAGATTACAGGCGCATACCACCACACCTGGCTAATTGTTTGTATTTTTAGTAGAGATGGGGTTTCACTATGTTGGCCAGACTGGTCTCAAACTCCTGACCTCGTGATATGCCCATCTTGGCCTCCCAAAGTTCTGGGATTTCAGGTGTGAGCCACCACGCCTTCCATCCTACTACCTTAACAGGCTGAACACACTAAGTCAGACTGACACATAGGTTATATCATTGGACACGGCCACAGATCCAGTAAAAGGCTCAGGGTGACAAGGGACTTACAGAATGAACCGGGACTCTTTGGGTATAGAAAGAGAAACCCTAACTCAAATGAGCTCAGGTGGGAGAGGAGGAAATTGGTTGATCCATGTAACCAGAAAGGGCAGAAATGGACTAGATCCAGGGACTGGTTAACATCAAGAAATTCCCACTCTGCATTTCTTTCCCCACATTTTTGTCCCCACCGTGGTATCTATTTGCTCTTCAACCTCTCCCCACCCCCATGATGGTAGGAAGGAGGAGATGATCCTGGAAGTCACAGGTTTTTAGCTTTTTAACTCCTTTCCATTCAGTGTGCTTCTAACAAAAAAGAATGTTCCCTCCCAACAGCCCCGAGGGAAGCCACTGAGTGATCTGGTGAGATTATTAAGCTCAACTGACAATTTTCACAGCGCATAGCCCCAAATGAAATTATTTGTTTGCATAGGAAATTATTTTCTGCATGCTTCCAACAGAATGTCATCTCTGTGAGGTCCTAACTGGTCAATCTCATTCCCTGTTGGCTATTCCTGAGGCCTTCCAACATTCCTGCACCTAGGATACCCTGGGCAGAGGAAGGAGTAGACAAAACCAAATCAGAGGCAGAGTAGCCCCCACTGCGGCTCCGTTTCTTCAGGCTATGTCATCTCTACCTTAGTTTGTTGGAACATCAGAGGTCACGAGCTATAGGCAAGGTTGAACAATAAAAAGAAGTATCCAGAAAAGTGAGGCTTCATTCCTGGTCTCGGCCTCCCTAACCAAGGGACTCTGAGTAAGTTAGTCTGCTTCTCTGAGCTGAAATTCCTTTAGCTCTTTAGAGAAAATAATTCCCCGTCCCTGTTCACCTCATAGGCTTGCTAAGGAGAATACAAGCTGTCTTGCAACTGGGGAGGCAGGTTGAGCAAGCTTTTCCTGATTATCTCCCAATATTCTCCTTCAGGAGCTCATCCAAACTCACCTCATCAGAACTACTTATATGCAGAATGGACACTAGAGACTCAGAGAGGGAGAGAGTGAGAAGGGGGGTAAGGGATGAAAAAAATCACCTGTTGGAACAATGTATATTATGAGGGTGACAGGTATGATGAAAGCCCAGGCTTCGCCACTATACGATTCATCCACATAACCAGAAGCCACTTGTACCTCTAAAGCTACTGAAATTAAAAAAAAAAATTACTGTATATGCTCAAGTCTTCTCAATACCTGTCCTTGTGCATGGCTCTGTACATTCTCCACTTTTAATGCCTTCAAACCCTCCTGTCTGGAATGAACCATAACATAGCCCATTTCAAGTCTGTATCCTTGACAAAGCACTTCCCCATTTCCCTAAACCCGAAATAATCTTACTTTCCATTAAATTATCATACCACTTTATCTGTATATCTAGAAACACTGAAATCTGCAGTCCTCTCATTATTTCACAAGAAGTCCAAGGCAGGCAGCTAAATTGGCTAAGCAGCCCTGTGGTTGTCTCTGTTCTGTGTATGCTGGAATTCCTTAGACTTCATTGCTGGAGGGCAAGCTCACTGCAGGCACTGCCTCCCAATTTAATACATTCCTGCCTGAATCTTCTATATTTTTGCTGGTCAGAGCTAAGGTTGAGGTTTGGGAGGCAACAGAGATTCCAAGGCCTGATTGCTGTGTAATTAACCCATCTGAGTTGCTAGGATAGAAAGGTTGTGATAACAATAGAATGGAACTTAACCAATGTGATCTGATTCCAGAGAGGGAAAACTCCATGTGGAGGAAATTTACAGAGCTGCCATAGGGTTCACTTTTGGGCCTCTTAATAGCTTTTTTTTTTCCTCCCTTGTTAATCATTCTTCTCACTCATCCTTCAAGCTTGCCCTATTCTTTTTAAAAACTACTTCCAGCCAGGTATGGTGGGTCATATCCCTAATCCCAGCTTGGGAGGCCAAGGCAGGTTGAACACCTGAGGTCAGGATTTGAGACCAGCCTGGCCAGCATGGCAAAACCCTGTCTCTACTAAAACTACAAAAATCAGCTGGGCATGGTGGCATGTGCCTGTAATCCCAGCTACTCGGGAGGCTGAGGTAGGAGAATCACTTAAACCTGAGAGGTGGAGGTTGCAGTGAGCCAATATCAGGCCACTGCACTCCAGCCTGGGTGACAGAGCAAAACAATGTCTCAGAAAACAAAACAAAACAAAAAGCATTTCCTGAAACATCTTTACCATACAAAAATTGCTACATGGTTTACCTCTTCCCCATGCAAAATGAAGCACCTTACCTATACTTTAACCTGAAGACGCAAAAGATACTTGAAAAATCATTAACTTTCTTTTCTGTATTTCAGAAATTTGATTCAGTGGAAGCCATCATCGAACACTTCAAGTATTTTCCCATTACACTAATTGATGGGAAAGATAAAACTGGGGCCCACAGGAAGCAATGTTACTTGACTCAGCCACTCTCTCTCACCAGACACTTCTCCCCTCTGTAGTGTGGTCTTTGTGTTATCTTTGGTTTACTGGATTCAATGCTTCCATCGTCTCACTGATTTCAAAAGATTATATTGTGTGTCTTCCAAGGATGACTTTTTTGACTTTGTAGAAAAGAAAAACACTCTAGAACAGAAAGTAGAAAATCAATCACGATTTTAAAAGTTCAAACCACAGAGAAAATATTTATTTTCAAACCACAGAGAAAATAAAAACATTCTAGTATCTGGCCACTGGAAAGTAAGTAAAAATTAAAAAAACTCAGGTTTTAAAAGTATCTTCTAAACGACAACAAAATTCTATAAACATAGCCATTATGCTCATGATACAGGCAAGCAGCAAAGGTGACCAGAAGCTATTGCTTAACTGTTTGCAGCTGGTGCAGAACAAGTCTATGGGAAATTCCCAAATCTATGCTCTTTACAGGACGCTGTGCCACCTTTATATCAGCTCTTTGGTCTTACACATCTGCAATGTGTGGATGATTTCTTACACTAAAGATGTTGGTGAATATTAGCTCTCTTTTATTGTAATCCTAGAAATTCATGTATAAGAAAGAAATGTGATATGGAAAACCAGCAATTGTGAATGTCACCTTGAAGACAGAAACTGAAAATACTCTGACCATACTGTGAAATGCCTATGGGACCAGCCTCCAGCATCCTCTGCTTCTAGAAGCTTTAAGTCAAATGGAATTAACACATTCATAGTAAAGAGCTCAGATTATATCCTTCTCTAGCTGTCAGCCAAGCATGTGTCTGAGGGAAACTAAAAATTGTATTAACAATTCCAATTATGGACTTCCATTCAAAGATGAAGAAAAACTGTCCTCAAATTAATGCTAATTCTCACAGTAACATTAGACATGTCATGATATTTATTCCTGTGCTGGGCATGGTAGCTCATGCCTTCATTTAATAAAATAAAATTAAGAGGATTTAATTTTACTCTTGTTTTACAATAAAGATGAGGAAGCAGAGGCTTGAAGAAGCTATGAATCTTAATCAGTTATGAGAAGAGAGCCCCAGATTATAATCTGCTTTGCCTGGCTCCATGCAAGCTCATCTTCCCAGGCACATTCTCCACACTGTGGCATTTTACTATCAAGTTGAAAAGCGATAAAAAAGAGAAAGAAACAATTTGAAAATACAGATTTACCACTGTAAAATAAACTCTTCTACTGGCAATAGGCTTTAAATATATATATATATATATATACTGTTGAAAATAACAGTATATAATGATGCCAAATGGTAGCAAAGCTTACACAGGAAATTCTAGAGTATTTATATAATTGTAGCGTTAATGCAGAAAGAAAACTGAAAAGCATTAAAAGGCAATAGAATCAGATGAAAACAATACCAGCAATGCCCAGGATCATCCCTTCTGTAAGACAGCAGACAATGAGCTCTCGGAAAAGCTCTTAGCATCTACCCACCATCCACACACCTGCTCTGGTGCTCTTCCTTCACAAGGTAAATGTGAAGTGATGCCTGTAAGTTACATCTGAAGCATTGAATGAAGCAGCTCTTTGTAAAGCTGGCATTTTTGAGACCTAACTGAGCCTATCTTAGAGTGTGCCTGAAGAAGATTACATATGAACCAAGAAATAAGAATGTTTACATTGAAGCTTGGATATTAAGGAACTCACGGTCTGGCCAGAGCTAAAAGCTGTATGGTTGCTGGTCATTCTCTTCTGGAATTCAACTAGCCATGGACAGTATGGAAACAAGGACTCTACAGAAGGGTTCCAGGCTCATGTCAAGAAAGACTCTGACCCTCATCCTACAAAGCTATTGGGAGATGACTGATAACTCCAAACTCACTGACTCATTGAGGCCATACCATTCAATGCCGTGTTCTCAAGAAATGTCTATGAGTCCTCTCAACCATTGCTGTTGATAAAATAGGTGAATCTCAGGTGGAGGTTAGCATTTGATGAGGTGTATATTTGAAACAATGTATTATCACCTCTTATCTTTATCACCTTATATCATACATACATGATATAATTCCAAAAAGAAAAAGAAGTAGAAATTAAGTAGCCTTAAGATGACAGCAAGAACAAGGGGAAAAGAAAGATAAAAAATTAAATATTTTGCAATAAAAAGCTCACAATATTTAATCTATTTGAACATTTCTACAAAAAATATAAAATTGAAAATATTGACATGGGCTGCTTCGGATGATTGGGATTTGAGGGATTGTGTTAGTCGGGTTTTCTAGAACTCAGACTCCAAGACAGAGTTTGAAGTGCAAACACTGATTGGAGGTTAATGTTTGAGAAAAATCAAAGGGAGAAGAAACAGAAGTATGGGTATGGGGTGGACTTTTAGGCTGCCACCTGTGAAAGGGAAGAGGGGAGGCGTGGGAGTGAGTAGAAAAAGCACAAGATTGAGATACAGTTCTGGAGGGTCTCGGCCAGCTCATGGTGAGGCCCAAAGCAAAGTCTTCCCATGGAGGAAAGAGTGTCGTGGTGGGTCTCAGTGCCCCACGATGCTAAGTCATGGTCTGGGGCTATCCTGGAAAACAACAAAAAAAAGACCTGCAAATGTTGTGGCAGATCCAGAAGGCGAGGCTGGATTCTGGCCACTAACTCTCTGGCCAGGAAGTTCTTTCAGTGGAGTCCCAAGTGACCCGCCTCTGGCCTGCCACAGCGACATTCTGAATTCACTGTTTTCAGTGTTGATCATAGTAAGGACAATTACATTTACATTTTGCTGGTAATGGATGATTAAATAATAAGGGTATATAAATCTAATTGTATTTGTTTCTTGCAACACTTCTGTAAAGAAGAGAGGGCAGCTATTTCTAAGCATTTTACAATTCAGAAAATTGTGCTTCATTGGCCAAAATCTCACAGTGACGTAGTTGTGACTAGAACCAAGGTCTTCATACACAGTTATACTATTCACAGTCTACCTGCTTTATTAAATCTGTAATTGAATATTTCCCAAATTCCAGTGTTTTAATCTCTTTTTAACCATTACCTTATGTTTAGTTTAAAAGTATTACTTGATATCTGGTTTCAACAGAGTAAGAGAATTTTAGTTTTATCCAATTACAGCATTTACACATTCCAGATATTTTTTGGACTAAATAATTCCCATTCTGGAGAAACGTGCATAGCCTCATCGTTAGTCACGTATTGTGTTAGCACCTTCGTGTACCGCATGTGTATTCATTACTAGGCACTGTTGTAGATGTTGAAAATGGAGCAGTAAATAAGAGAGACATATGACAAACAAATATACAAAAAAAAAATTAGATAATCTAGGTTGGTTTTCCATTACTCAGTTGGATTTCTATTTTAACACTTATCTCTGAGTGCTTGTGGGGTGAGGCCAACATTAAATGTTTTCATGAAGCTCCCTTGAGATAACTTTGAAAAGTCCTGAGTCAGAAAATTTAAAATTTTCCCAAATTTCTGTGGGGAGTATGTCTGTGTGTGCACATGCATGTGTGCATGTGTGTATGTGTGCATGTGTGTATGTGTGTATGTGTGCATGTGTGCATGCGTTAGTGTGTTTGAGTAACTGCATCATAGCTGTAATCAGTTAAATCTCCTTTTCTAATTACTGTGGAGGAAACAAATGAACTCCATTGTCAAATGTAGCCATTTGTCATGTATGTGTGTATACATATACAAGTTTTTATGAGACAGCCTACATTGTATAATATTAGCATTATATTTGTATATCTTTCCTTATTCTGAGCAATATTTGTTCTAGCTAAGCACATTTACATTCATAATTTATAGCCATGCTAATTTAAAAAAAGCAAATATGTAATTAAATATTATAATTTTCTCTGTATCTGAGTATTGAAGAAAGAAATTCAAAACATAGCTTAATTTTGTTTCATGCCCTATTGTCCCTAAAACCCTTTTGAAATTACATTTAGGGAAAATTTAGGATAAAATTTCTAGAACAATTATTGATGTATGAGCATTATGCTAGACTTTGGAGGTGAAGATGAAAAAGACACAATCCCTGTGATTGAGAGCTCAGAGCCTGACAGGCAAGATACACATGTAATAACCATCTTAACATGTGTGAGTTAATATCTCATTGTGGTTTTGATTTGCTTTTTCCCAATGATTAGTGAAATTGAGTACCTTTTCATATGCCTGTTGGCCAGTATCAAAAAACAAAAGATAACAAGTGTTGGCAAGGCTGTAGACCAATGGAAACCCTGTGCATTGCTGGTGGGAATGCCAAGTAGTGTAGCCACTATGAAAAACAGTAAAGAGTTTCCTTAAAAATTGAAAATGAAACTATGATATTCAGCAATCCGACTTCTGGGTATGTATCCAAAAGAAATCAAATCAGGATCTTGAAAAGATATCTGCACACCCATATTCATTGGAGCATTTTTCACAATTATTCCAAGATATGGAAACAACCTAAATGTCTATAAAAAGTGAATGAATGGGTGGAGACAGTGGCTCATGCCTGTAATCCTAGCATTTTGGGAGGCTGAGGTAGTCAGATAATTTAAATTCAGGAGTTCAAAACCAGTCTGTCCAACATGGTGAAACCCCGTCTCTACTAAAAATATAAAAAAATTAACTGGGCTTGATGGTGGGTGCCTGTAATCCCAGCTACTCAGGAGGCTGAGGCAGGAGAATCATTTGAACCCAGGAAGCGGAGGTTGCAGTGAGCTGAGATTGTGTCGCTGCATTCCAGCCTGGGCGACAGAGCAAGACTCTGTCTCAATAAAATAAAAATAAAATAAAATAAAAAGAATGAATGAAGAAAATGTGTTATACACATACAATGGAGTATTATTCAGCCTCAAAAAAGGAGGAAATCCTGCCACATATGACAAGGTGGATGAATCTGGAGGACATCATGCTAAATGACATAGCCAGGCACAGAATGACAAATACTGCATGACTCCACTTATATGAGGCATCTCAAATAAACTCATAGGAAGAGAGAATAGAATAGTTGTCACCAGGAGCTGTGGCGAGAGGGAAATGAAGGTTTGTTGTTCAATGGATATAAAGTTTCAGTTACACTAGGTTAATAGGTACTAGAGATCTGCTGTATAGCATTGTGCCTGTGGCCAACAATGTTATCTACCTAAAATTTTGTTAAGAAGGTAGACATCATGTTAAGCTTGTTAAGTGTTTTTACCACCAAAAAGGAGACGGGGCTGGAGGAAATGTTTGGAGGTGACAAATGTGCTTATTATCTTGATGGTGATGATGGTGTCGTGGGTGTACATATATCTCCTAACTCATTAAATTGTATACATTAAACATGTCCGATTTTTATTATATCAATTATACCTCAATGAAGCTTTTTTTTTTAAGCAAAAGATAACACATGTTAACAAGATCATGTAATGCAAAATAATAGATTTGGAAATTCTTTCCCCTGTACCACGACTGCATTGGTAGGCAGACATGGGATGTGTGGGGAGGGATGTAGTTGGGAAAATTTCCCAGAGACGATGTTCAGGAAGAGACTTGAAGGGTGTGCCCAGATTGCAAGCTTTAGAATGAGCTTGCCTAACCCTCAGCCCATGGGCCACGTGCAACCCAGGATGGCTTTGAGTGTGGCTCAACACAAATCTGTAACGTTCTTAAAACATTATCAGATTTTTTTTTGCAACCTTTTTTAAAGCTCATCAGCTATTGTTTGTGTTAGTGTATTTTATGTGTGGCCCAAGATGACTCTTCCAGTGTGGCCCAGATTCAGTAATGGGCCACGTGCTTCTACTCCTAAAGCAGGGGTGTTCAACTGAACACGCTGTTCAATTGGTACTCCTGTTTTAGGGGCACTATTCTAGGCCGTGGGGAATAAAGCAGGGACTACCGATTTCAAGGGGTAAGTGAATACAATAGAGGCAGCGTCTGTAAAGAAAAACAAGATTATTAAGTGGTTCTGGGTAAATTGGCTCATCATCCAGAAAAAAATACAATTATGTCTCTACCTCAAATCATATACAAAAATATTTTACATGAATCAAATACTTAAGAGCAAAAAGCAATCTTTAAATTGAGTCTTACATCTCTGTCTAATAATTTTTAAGACTTTGAGACAGAGAAAGAGTTTTTAAGACAAAAAATAAAATCAAGGGAAATATTGATAGATTCATTACACCAAAGTATAAAATGTTTACAAAAGTTAGACAAAATCAAAAGACAATTAACCTAATATTATGAGGAAAGGTTGTAAACACACACACACAAAGCTGGATACCCACTCCTGTAAGTTAAGAAAATTGGTAACAATTAAGTACAATTAAGATTAATAGGCAGGGCGCAGTGGCTCATGCCTGTAATCCCAGGACTTTGGGGGGCTGAGATGGGCAGATCATGAGGTCAGGAGATCAAGACCATCTTGACCACATGGTGAAACCTCGTCTTTACTAAAAATACAAAAATTAGCTGGGCATGGTGGCGTGTCCCTGTAGTCTCAGCTACTCAGGAGGTTGAGGCAGGAGAATTGCTTGAACTGGGGAGGCAGTGGCTGCACTCCAGTCTAAGTGACAGAGCAAGACTCTGTCTCAAAAAAAAAAAAAATTAACAAACAGCTAGCTAAAATAATAAAAAAAAAACTAAGTAAAAGGACACCTTACTAGCAAAAAATAAAAGAAAAAGCAACAGATACTGCAGACATTGAAGGGATACTAAAGAACTATCAGGAACGCTTTTATTCCAGTGAAGCTGAAAAAGATGACTTTACAGATGAAAGTCCATACAAGAAGAAATAGAAAATCTGAATAGCCCTTCATTGTTAAAAGAAATGAGAAGATTTCTCGTGAAAAAAAATTTCTAGACCAAAATGAATCCTACAAAACATTTTTAAAAGCTAATATTGAGTCAGGTGAGAAGCAAGCAGAGCTGCTATAGAGGCTTCTCCCAGAAGGGGCCTCAAGAGAGAAGGGTTAGCTATGGCATCCCTGATTAGAAAGTATGACCCAGTCCCGTAAGTTAAGATATCCAGCTTTGTTATTGTGTGTCTATTACAGCTGGTCTGTGATGGAATTAAGAGAGAATGCCAATAGCCATTATCATGGAGCTATCATTAAAGACAAATGATGGCCAGTCGAGGTGGCTCTCACCTGTAATACTAGCACTTTGGGAGGCCGAGGTGAGCAGACCACAAGGTCAGGAGTTCGAAACCAGCCTGACAACATGATGAAACCCCATTTCTACTAAAAATACAAAAATTAGCCTGGCATGGTGGCAAGTGCCTGTAATTCCAGCTACTTGGGAGGCTGAGACAGGAGAATTGTTTGAACTTGGGAGGCAGAGGTTGCAGTGAGCTGAGATCATGCCACTGCACTCCAGCCTGGGCGACAGTGAGACTCCTTTTTTTTAAAAAAAAAAAAAAAAAAAAAGGGACAAATGACATGGAGCCTAATGGAGAAGAATGGGAGATGGAGTCTGGCTCCTGTGGTCCCTCAGTACTAGACAATGGACCCACTCAGAGGGAGATTTCAGCCAGAATGCCTAAAGAGAGGCCTGAAGAGTGAGCAACCCCTATGAGAATGGCAAATGGGCTTCCTGGCTACCTATTTGTGAGGATTGGTACTGAGTGTCAACTTGATTGGATTGAAGGATGCAAAGTATTGATCCTGGGTGTGTCTGGGAGGCTGTTGCCAAAGGAGATTAACATTTGAGTCAGTGGACTGGGAAGGGCAGATCCACCCTTAATTTGTGTGGGCACCATCTAATCAGCTGCCAGCACGGCTAGAATAGAAAGCAGGCAGAAAAATGTGAAAAGGCGAGACTGGCCTGGCCTCCCAGCCTACATCTTTCTCCCATGCTGGATGCTTCCTGCCCTCGAACATCGGACTCCAAGTTCTTCAGTTTTGGAACTAGGACTGGTGCTCTTTGGTCCTCAGCCTACAGCCAGCCTATTGTGGGACCTTGTGATCATGTGAGTTAATTCTTAATAAATCCCCCTTTGTGTGTGTGTGTGTGTGTGTGTGTGTGTGTATACATTATATATACACATTAGGCTCCGTGTGTGTGTGTATACATTTTATATACACATTCGGCTCCGTGTGTGTGTGTATACATTATATATACACATTAGGCTCCGTGTGTGTGTGTGTGTGTGTGTGTGTGTGTATACATTATATATACACATTAGGCTCCGTGTGTGTGTGTGTGTGTATACATTATATATACACATTAGGCTCCGTGTGTGTGTGTGTGTGTATACATTATATATACACATTAGGCTCCGTGTGTGTGTGTATACATTATATATACACATTAGGCTCCGTGTGTGTGTGTGTGTGTGTGTGTGTATACATTATATATACACATTAGGCTCCGTGTGTGTGTGTATACATTATATATACACATTAGGCTCCGTGTGTGTGTGTGTGTGTGTGTGTGTATACATTATATATACACATTAGGCTCCGTGTGTGTGTGTGTGTGTATACATTATATATACACATTAGGCTCCGTG